AGGCAGAGCAAAAAATTGGCTTTCGTATCTTCTTCACACATTCTAAAAGAGCAAAGTATGGGCAAAATTCCAGCTTTGCGAAAAGAACCTGTTAGGTTGCTTTTAGGATCACAGGCATCTTAAAACCAGACAATATCAATGCTTGTTGTAAAGACGCAAGTATTTTATTCCAGGTGTTTTTGGCTGCAAAGCCAGAGGCTTGATTCTCATGATAGGGTGGTTTGGGTTTTTTTGCTGCAGATGCAGCCTGCTTGCATACCATATGGTGGTAATTAACAGTTTCAGGCTTAGTTCTGAGTTTTCTTCTGCTTCGATTATTGGTTGGTTTGGGACAAAGTTTTAATGTCACAGAAAGAGAGTTTTCTGTCTGAGTTTAATTGCAGACAGCAATAACGCGTATCTCTAGATGAGGAAGGAGAAGGTGAGATCTATCTAGTCAGAGCACTAAGAGATATTTTGGAAATCTCAGCAAGTACAGCCTGTTTCTTTTCATTAAGTGTTTCCCTGTCCCTCTCTAGAACTGAAAGAGGCCTTGGTTGGACCCTGGAAGTGGAGAGAGACCATTTGAAAGATACAGTTGGAATGAAGAGTTTCTTTTAACAGCGAAGTGTTTGCGCTTTTTATGAGAGCAAGGGTAACATTGTGTAATCTTTGGAAAAGATATTGCTCAGTGAGGATAAGTCCATTGTCCAGTGACATGACTTTTCCTGTCAATCACAAAGGTGACAAGGGGGCTAGATTAAGTAAAGCTTGCCCAAGATTAACAAAGGAAGATTATTGACCTCATCCTGAAAGGGCAGAAGCCTGTTTTATCATTAAACCTTGGAAGAGGTATTTCCTCCATAGGTGGAAAGCTGTTTGGCAATATAGAGGCAACTTTCTTGCAAATGAACAAGTCTACCTGTGGATTCTAGCTTGGAACAGAAGCAGAAGACACGAAACGTGGGCCAGTCTTGTTGTTGTTGTTGTTGCTGCTGCTCTTGTGGAGGGAAGAAGGGCCTGGGGAGGCTGATTCAGCCGGATCTGTGTAGGTCCTTGTCTGCCTTTCCGAAGTGGGAAAAGCAAGAAGCAGCAGCATCAGGTGTTGGTGAGTACAACCCCAGCTCGGAGTTCGATGAAATGTTGTGCCAGCAGATATTAGCAGAGCAATTCGCAATGCAAATGAACAATAGAGCCCCATCCATGAAGCAGCTGCTAACTGCATAAAACTGTTACCAGGATTAACAGTGCCAGAGGCTGGAATGTAATCAAACTTGAACAGGTGAAATGGTTACGCAGCTGAGAGAGGCTGTTCCCCCGTAAAAGACTGTCTGTTTTGGTGACTGAGAGATAGGTCTTGTGCGTGGCTTGATGGACTTCATTTTAAAGCGTCAGTAGAAGATATTTAGGCTCTTTAATACCACGCTTCACAGTGTTGTTGCTTTTCTCTCCGTTAACTGAAAAAAAAGTCATGTGAATTTGCCCTTTCAGAAAAGGAACCTGCTAAATCTCACTTGTTGGGAGGGAACTTCCTTCTCAGGGGATTAATTTTAAACTGTTGCTGACATATCTTTCTTGCCATTAAGGATTTCTCTGAGTGTTTTCAGGGGGATAGTTAAACTCTCACGCATAATATCAGAGGAGTTTCTTTGCCAGAAGTTTTTTAGCTTTATTCAACTGTTGACATGAGTAGGTTTTATGCCGAAGTAGCCTTTCTTTTTTACGTGGCTAAAGTAAAAATACAGAAGCATTGAAAGTTCTTTTTTACGTGGCTAAAGTAAAAATACAGAAGCATTGAAAGTTCTTTTTCACTTTCCCCAGTAATGACATGAGAAAGAGCAGCATTTCAGGTTGTTGTTCTGCATGATGGACTAAAAGAGATCATGGACGAGTGGGGAAGGCAGATTGTCGAGCTGGTGTGCTAGAGGATACATGTAGAACTCGTATCAACAGCAGTAGCTGATGTGTGCGCTCATCTGCTGGTATGGAAAGGAGAGGATTCCTCTTAGATTGCAAATCACGCAATGAATGTGTGATTGCTACAGATCCTTTTGAATGAATAATTCACTGGTGTACCATAATTTAGCCCACTGAGATGTGATTGCAGCTGTTCCCCAACTGTATATGTGTTTTGATTAAGTGGAGTGTATCTTAAACCCCACAAGTGTATAAATAGCCGATGTATGTGATATGCAAACACTGCATACATGCACACATAACAAGAGCAGTCTAAGGAAACATTTTGTTTTGGGGATGATTACTTAGATGTATATTTTAATATATAATTTATCTTCTAAAAAAAAAAATCTCTGTAGAACACTTCCCTTTCCTTTTTTGTCCAGCTATGAAGTCTTAACTGTGGTACCATATAAATGCTTTCAGCCAGCATTATAGTATCAGGGTGTCTCTGAGTTATTAATGAGTTTATCATTTCAAGACCTTTACAATATAAGAAATTACTTCTTTTGTGCCTACCTAGGAAACTGAAATGCAGGAACAAAGGTGATTTTTTCCATGGTTATGCAGAACATGCAAAAGAACAAGGAACTGGGTATCCAGAGTCCTTTCATGTTGCTTTACCCACAGACTACTCTCTTGGCCTCTCCCCCTCATGCTTCCTTGCCCCAGAAAAAGAGGCAGGGAATTTTTAGTAGTTTGAAAACACTTGTGGGTTCTATTTGAATGCCAAGCAATTTGGGATTTTGAAAAATCACCTTACATATAATTCAGTCTTGTGTTCTTAAGCTTCTTTGCTTATAACAAACTTGTTATACAGTCGGAGTATATTTGTACATGTAAAACCACTTGCCTGTTCCCAGAATGTACATGGAAGCAGTAATGATGATTCCTGAGGTTTAGGCAGCTGTTGCAAGTACTTTGTGCCTGTGAGCAATGCATGACATACACAGAAACACAAGTGAGTGTCTTTGGGGCCCGCTTCGGAATAAAAACAAGAAACTAGTGCCTGGTAAAATTAGGAATGATACTGTTCCTATACATAACCCATGGTATAGGTGGATTTAAGAACTGTAACTAAGGATGGTATTTGGCTTATCTGTCTTTGAAGTGTGAATAAGAAAGCAGCTTTCAAGATATTTCCTCTTTTGGCCTTGTCTATAGGAAAAAAATTACCACTTGGTGATAATAGGTTTGAACGTCAGATAAAATCTGAACTGATGCTGAAGTTAACTATTTTGCTTGTCTAGATCAGTGTTAAAACCCAGTTTATTCAGGTCTGTATAGGTGAAAAAAGTTACATTCGGCTCCAACTCGTTTTTGAAGTCCAGTGTTAGCAACTAGTAATTTTCCAAGTGCAGAACAAAAATGGAGGGAGTTGCAAGAAAAAAAAACAAAGGAGCATTTCTGTTGACTAGAGTCGGAAAATTTTTTAGGGCTTGGTCAAAAGCTCATTGACGTCAGTAGAAAGTCTCTCATTAACAACACTGGGTTTGGCTTTTGGGGCATATGATGGCCCAGATTGTAATCTCAGTTAAATCCGATTCTGTTAGGGAATTTATTCACCAGTATAACGCATTCAAGCTGCTCAAAACTGTTTGCACTAAAAGTTTTCTTAACCAAAGGTAATCTTTTTGCCAAAACGAAGTAGTCTGTGAAAATAAATACATTCATTACTTCATATCTTCCATGTTGTTTTATTCAAATTCTGTTGAGATAATTTTTAGCATTTTACGTTCTATTTATGAAAAGACACATTTTTTTTTCTGAAATATTGGGGTTTATTAAAACTAGAGGCCCCAAAAACAACTCAGGAAAAAATGATAAAATTATAACACAAGCCACTAGAACCAGTGTATGTATCGCTTTCATACCCTATGAAATGAAAACAATTTAAAAATTATTAAGACTTTTTCAAGCAAGTCTGTAACACGGATCACAAGATGGTTCAGTGACATTTTAGAAATAATATTCATTAAACATCTGGAATACAAAAATGTAAGGAAATAAGATAATGAAAAAGAAAAAACAAAAAACTCTGGAGAAGCTGATGAAAATAAAAACCTGTCATGTTTGCAGCATTATATTATGCAGTGCATGTACTCGGCAGCAAGCTTTGTTTGGAGACGACCTAAGTTTTGCAAGGTATAGATGGCATATGTTAGCAGAGGAAAAAACGGCTTTCAGAGATGTGTACAGAAGGGTAGGGTATAAAAGAGACATAAAAGGGGAAAGGAATATATGCAGAGAACTTAGCTTTATGTTGGAGGAGGCGTGGAGGAGAAGGCTCTCACATTAATGAAGGCAAGTTTGAAGATGCTGGAGCCAGTTTTGGTTTCCATTAAAATTAATGAGTAGACCTCTGTGGACTCTCACGTGAGGAGGATTGTGTGTATGTTCCAGGAAGTCACAGAGTTTTGCCGTTGTGCCGCCAGTGAAAGTCATTAGGACCACCTTCGTGAAAAATATTGTCTCTACAAGAAATGAAGGAGTGAGATGGAAGAGGAGAATAGAAAGAGAATTAGAAAACAGAAAGCAATTGCTTCATCCCTTATAGGTGGGAGAACTACTTGAACTGTGACTTAAAATAAGCCATATAGCGAAGGGCATTTAATATTTGGCTACTATTTCATTTCTTACAGCAACTAGCCATCAAGACGTTAAGTACTTTTTAAAGTCAGGAAATTAATGGTCCTTGTAAAAATTGAAGATTTTTTCGAAAGCAAGCTGTAAAAGAACAAACAATTAAAGGTAATCAATACCATTGTTATTAGGAAACGTACGAGTACAACACTCTTCTCAATTAGGGAAAAACTGTATTTTATGTTTCTCTCTTGCAAGCTGATCTTTGTTCACTTCAGCCTGTAATCTTGGTTTTTGCTTTATGGATAGGCTTTGTTCTGGGTGTTTTTGAAGCATTGCATGCCTTTTTAAAGGTTTCAACAGAAGAACAAACAGCAATGAACTCAAAGAACAAAGGATTGTTCGTTCTTTCCATCTTTATATTTTTTTTCCTTCTTTAAGAAAAGAAAGAAATGTTTCATCTCGTTTTTTTCCCCTTTCAGGAAGTTGATGGCAATAAAGTGATGTCTTCATTTGCCCCGCACAACTCATCTACCTCACCCTTGAAGGCAGAAGAAGGTGGGCGTCAGAGTGGAGAATCATTGTCCAGCACAGCCCTGGGAACCCCTGAAAGGCGCAAAGGGAGCCTAGCGGATGTTGTAGACACCCTTAAGCAAAGAAAAATGGAAGAGCTCATCAAAAATGAGCCAGAAGGTAAGGCCTGGGAAACTGGCCAAAATTTTCTGTTTTCTTTTCTTTTCTCCAGATTCTTTGGACACGTATACTTTTTAATCTTCCCATTTTCTGCTCCATTTGCTTTTTCTTGCTAGCAAAATCGAAGTAAAGAACTCATAGTTCTTGTCTACATTAGAGATAAATTTCAGCAATATCCCATTACAGCTAACATTTTTAGCTTTTCCCAAATGAGAGCCTTTGGCTGACATAACGGTCTTTTTGTCACAGTTGCAATAGACACAGCAACCTCCTCAACATGGGTACAATGAACACTGTAATTTTAACAGCCTGGGGTCATTTACACCCCTACTCTTCCCTTACCCATTTCTAGAGCAAAAAGCAGTGTTATCAGCAATGTTAATCTTTTTGTGAAATTATCTATTAGGCATGTCATTATTTGAAAGGTAAGAACTTAAATTTGGAATTCAGGAAAGATTTTGTCTACAGCATGTCCTATCATGTCATCTTCTATTTATCCGTAGTACCGGTACTATACAAACAGACACAGTACAGGCTTTCTCTGCATTATGTCTGGCCAAAAAGTTTCAGCCTTGGCATATAGGTATCATCTCTGGAGAATCAGTTTCTTTTTAAGACTGTATGTCCAGTCGATGACGATGTCACTTGTGCTCTGTAGGCTGAGACTAAGACCAAACATCTCGCCTCTGAGAAGCCACAGAACAGCTTTCCTTTAAGTACAGGTTTCATATTCTGCCTATTTGGGGCAGATTCAAACCCCTGACTGGAAGGTGAAGTTCTCACAATGTTCTCCATAGGTATCCAGCATGCATGTTTACAGCTAGATTTCCAGGGGACTGTGAGCCAGTTGATGTTGTGTGAACATACTGAGCCTTACTCCCTAGTGCACAGCAATAAGTCTTTATCTTTATTTACACCCACCTATCCTGTTGTCGACATCTATTTCAAATGTTTAAAAGCAGGGCCCTCAGAGCCCACTTCAGTATTGAAGCATGAATTGACAGCACCTACAAGAAATTTTAGGACAACCTACATACTGGAATGAAAATACAGATGCAAACATAGCCACACTGTCACATACATGAGCATGACAGGATTGTAAATTAGTCTTCTTTTCTTGAGTGGAACACACAGTAAGTGTCTGCTGGGAAACAAATTCTTTGTCTAAGCACTTTTTGGAATATTACGTATAATCATAGCATTTCATTTTGCATTTATGTTGACTTAATGGTTAGTGCCATGACCAACCTTGTGCCTTTGAATGGAAAAGGTCTTTCCTGCGTATGGTACGGGGTGGGGTGGGGGGGAAGACTAGACTTTTGTATAGGAGAGAGGAAAGAATAGGGGGTTCTGGGCAATGTATAAATACTCTGTAGAGTATGAGGTTGTATGAGCTGCACAGACTCCATTAAGGAAAGGCCACAGATAGACATGGTTACAGAGCCTGTGCATTATCCCAGCTCTACTAAAATGAAAATATACAGTACAAAAAAAGATCTACAGCTTTGTGAAGAGATTGGGAGAGAGAGGAGGGGGAGCAGCTGAATGTTGGGCTTTGCAAATGCATGCAACAGAAAATCTTTTCTTCCCTCTAGCCATTGTTCTATTGTCTTTCAAAGGCCATTAAAATGAACAGCAGGTTGTGATGAAAATTTCATTAAGCCCTAGTTAAATCATTATGAGGGTGCCATATTCATGTCTCTGCTTACTCCCCATCCAGGAAAAAATGAATAGGAAAGGGGCTTTTTTTCCCTTTCTCCTTAAAAGCGAACTAACAAAAGTTCAGAAGTTAGAAGAGAATGGGAAATGGGACATGAAACAAAAGGAGGCCAGAGAGGTGAGCTGGCTAGGAAGAAAATTAGACTTGCATAAGAGCATTGAAAGGTGGTTCAGGGACAAATACATCATTTTGACAAGTCTCCCTCCCCCTTCCCGTCAGCCAACATGATTGTTTTTAGAGTGGCTAATTAAAAAATATATATTTCTGGGTGCAGATGGCAAGACTGTTCTTAGAGATTCTCCACAAAT